ACGATAACAATCAATTTAACATTAAAAAAAAAGCAACCCACCGTAACCATCAGTGTAGATTCAGCATTCGCAACCAGCACAAACACATCGGCATCTAAACAATGCTTATCGATCCATTCGTCTAAGTTTGGGGTAACATCAACACCGGGGGAATCAACAAAAACAACATCGTCGCGTAAAAGAAAGCAACGATTTCTTGGCCAAAACACCCGGACTAATTGTGATTCACTCAATTTCTCTTTACATAAAGCATGGGCGAGTTGCCCAACGGATTCTACAGAACATTTTTCATCGCTTCCTTCCAAAACTAAATAAGCCTCATCATTAGGAGATCCCTCGACTTGTAAAAAACAATTTGTAGTGTGCCCTATTCCGCTTGGTAAGATCTTATCGCGTAACATTGCATTAATAACCGTGCTTTTTCCATTCGATGTCCTCCCGAAAAAAGCTACTTTCATGTGATCGCGAGCCAAAACATCTCGAATACCATGAACTTTATTAACAAATTCTTCTGATTTCTTAACCGAATTTCCATCAATAATTTGTTGTTGCTTCTCCAATTCGTGCATATAATTAACGGTATCTTTAACATAATCTTCAATTTCAACGAAAATATCGTTAATTTTCTTTTTCGCCCGAACGAATATCTGCAAAGGAGAGTTGTCAGCGCCGTTTCTAATCACCGGATGACGAAGATCACTGGAGCCTCCGACTATAATCGGACGATTGTGAGGACCATCCCCGGACATCATTGAAACAGTGCGATTTAAATAAGCTGCCATTGTGTTGTTGTGCGAGAAAGGTCTTCACTCAATAATAAACATCTAACATGCAAACAGCAACTGAAACAAACAAAAAAATAAATTATTTTTAATCTGCAAATTGTAAATGTGATGAAAACTAAATAAACAGGTTATAAAATAAAAAAGTGAGGTTATGAAATTTTGCGAAATGTCAAAAATGACATTTACTACAAAAAAAAAACTTAAAAAATCATGTTCTATGTCTAAAAATAACACATAATTCGTAATAAGCACCACCATGCATAATTAAATCAAAATGAAAACAAGAATTCATTTAAACCTGTTCATTTCGTAGCATTCTCCACCACGACCTAACCTCAACACGCTATAAAATAGAAAAAAAAATCGATATCATATCGTCATAATTACATCTTTAATTTGCAACGAAATTGTTTTGGATTGCCAAAACTCACCTTAAAACGCGTAATCTAGCCGTTTTACTGCGTCTTATTTTTTTATTTTCGAACCCAAAATAGCTAGACGAAATTGCGGTCACATTGTATCGTTAAAACGTCGGATAGTTTTGCAGGTTTTCACCACTTTTATGTGACAAACTCGTTAGCGGTTGATAAGCGCGTTACAATTATTACTAATCAGTTTACTTACATTTATTTTAAACGTTACGTAATGTTTTTTCAGTAGAGGCTTTTTGGGGAAATGATCTTCGACATGTGCAACACTGACTTTCTACAAAACTGACTTTGACATTTTTGAACATTGACAATATTAACTAATGTTTTTACTTTCTTGATATTAATTTTGCGATTTAAATTTAGATTAAAATAAAATCACTTGGTTTTAATTAAATTGTTGCTTTAATTTTTATTATTGACGAAGAAATCTATTAAAACTTCGTTCTTTCTTCAATAGATGGCTTAGTATTACAATTAATTCTAATTATAATTTTTAATAAATTTAACAAATTAAGCATTATTAATAAAATAAAACTAAAAAGATAATTATATTTGAGTTTTGTTATTAAGATAATGACACAATCTTAAAATAATCAATACTTATAGATACTTATAAAACATTACGATAGATGGCGCAAAAAACAATTTAAAGATTTTTTTAAAATTTCTTTTAATTTTTTTTCGATATCCACTGTTATCTCTCCATAATATAGACGTGGTTTCCCAAAATTTACCAACAAATAAGAATTATCGGGAAAGTACATCAAAAACATTATACACCATGAAATCAACCCAACCCTATCCCAACCCAACCCAACCCAACTGAACGGAAGCATATCCAACCCAACTAACATAAAGATAAAATTAATACAAACTGAAATCTTCTAATTATATACTGTATATCTATAAACAAGGCTGAAATTAAGATTTTAA